ATAATTTTATAAAATATGTAATTAATTATATTTTAATTATGTTGTTATATCTAATATAATAAATATATTAATATTTTTTTATATTTTATTTTATTGTTTAATTGTTTTTTATTTTGTGGTAAAATTATCTTCATTTTTAATGAAGAAAAAATTTACTTACTTCAAGAGTAAGTCTTGATAGATTTATTCTACTTAATAATTAATGTTCTATATCAAATTTTTAAAAATTTAATTGTTAAATTAAAAAGCTTTTCATGTATATATCAAATTTATAAATTTTTTTAAAAAATTAAAAATCATATGATACTTCGTTAAATTAATTCAAATTAACATATAAAATATTTTTGTTTTAAATGAGTGTAAAAATTTATAGAACACTAAAAGAAAATAAATTAATAATTTTATTATGTTTATCCTATTAATTTCTATCATTTTATTCCTTTAATTTTAAATAAGTTGCAAAAAATTATAAAGTGACACTTAAATATTTTTTCAGACCGAAAGAGAAAAAGGAAAAGTTATCACTCTATTTATAAGACAATTGTATTTTATAAAAATAAGTAATTTTAAAATTTTTACCATAAAAAATATTTTTCAAAATTATTATATTTTTTAATAAAATTAATATAGAATATTCTATTGTCTTCACTTAACAAGTTGGCGTTCTGGAACGAGTCATTCTGAATCCAGAACGGCCTATTTTGAAACCAGAACGGCCCATTCTGAAACCAGAACGGTCAGTTTCAAATGCAAAATTAACACACAATAGTACACCCAGAATGGGCCTTTAGAACGGCCCGTTCTGGTTCTAGGTGTTTTCCAGAAATTTGGCATCTACATGACATCCACCTATGCATTTACGTGGCATTCACGTGACCAACAGTTAACTCCATCTAAATAACTTGGACGGAAGTCCGACATTGCAACTAATTATTTTATTAGGGACCAAATTAAGACAAAAAATAAAAATGAAATTAAATTGAAATAAACAATTATTATAAGAGACAAAAATAGGTTTTTAATTTTATTTATTTGTGTATTAGACAAGTCACGCTACTTTCATAACACTTCTAATCTAATAACTAATTTAAACTGATTTTATCTCCGATATTTCTAAGACCAATTCGACCGTCCATTGCAAACCGGTTCTTGCCTGGTGACCCGCGTTCAATTTCTATATAAAAAATAAAAGATATTAGAAATTTAAGAATTTTGGTATGTTTATTTTTTTATCAATAAATAATTAAGTTTGTATGTAATTTAATGTAATAATGGACCAAAAATCAGATGATTCATTTCCATGGTAATATCTCAGCTGGGACGTAGAAATTAATACGAGGGTAATAATTTCTGACCACCTAATAATTTCATTCTTCACCAAAAATAAGATTTTATGTAATAGAGTCATGCCATTTCATTCAGTAATATTTATAAAATTTAACCAGCAGCTTTCCAAAATCCTGAAGTTCATGGTCAGTTGGATCAAACTTCACTTCATAACTTCTTCATCAGTTGGATGGAACTGAAACCCGAAAGAAGTAAATTTTTCAAACTTAGTGCGATGATATTTAAAATAAAAAAAACAAAAATCATATATTTTTTTTCATTTCAAATAATCATTATTTTATATTAATAGCTCTAAAAAATAATCTATTTTAAAATAGATTGAAATAAGTAAAAGTTACCTCTTGGAGAAAGTTTACCAATGTAATTATGTCACACTTTGGAGGAAAGTGATAATATTGTGATAATATTGTGCTAACTTAGTGTTAGAATTCAGCTCTCAATTCAGCTCTGTCTATATAAAAAAGTATCAGGTTGTAAACTTTCAGTATAGAATTCTACTTTTTTTATTCATGAATAGTTTCTTATTTCTAACATGAATAGTAAAAATACTATTCATTCTCCTATACCGTACCGAAAACTTTATGATCAAAAGTGAAATTGTGATTATAAAAATATTTTAGCACTATGATTTCACTTTTCACTTTTGATAAAAATGTGATAATATTCTGCTAACGTAGTGTGATCACAATTTCAAAAGTAATCATATCCTCCAAAGTGTGACATAATTACATTGGTAAACATAATTACATTGGTAAACGTTATATAGTCAGAGCCGAATTGTGTATAACTTTATATAACTTTTTTATATAAAGTTTATTATCAGGTTGTAAAAATACTATTCATGTTACAAATTTATTCTCCTATAGACAAATTTATTCTTGGTATACATAATTGAGCTCTGTCTATATATTCACTTTCCTCCAAAGTGTGTGTGCTAACACATTATTTTTCAATCCTTCTTGCACGGCAGTTTCCATTGGCTGGTGCTGCTTACTATCCAATTCTGCACTGGGCGCTTAAATTGCGGTGCTAATTGCTCACTCCACAGTTTGTACACCCTTTACTTTTTCTTTTTGGATCATTTTTTGGATTTTAATAACTCTGTTAGTGTTTTATTCAAACTATTGGTGGGACACGAATAGAGTACAAGTTTAACGATAATATCTCTATCGGGAATTAATTGCAAACCGGTTCTTTTATCACCGCTATGTATGGCCGCCGACACACATGCCTAATATCTTGAATTGCCTGGTGACCTGCGTTCAATTTTTATATAGTAAATAAAAGATATTAGAAATTTAAGAATTTTGGTATGTTCATTTTTTTTATCAATAGATAATTAAGTTTGTATGTAGTTTAATGCAATAATCGACCAAAATACACCAAAAGCTTATGATAATATCTCAGCTGGCTGTCATGTAGAAATTGATACGAAGCTAATAATTTCTGACCACCTAATAATTTCATTTTTCGCCAAAAATAAGACTTTATGTAATAGAGTCATGCCATTTCATTTAGTAATATTATAAAATTTAACCAGTAGCTTTCCAAAATCCTGAAGTTCATGGTCAGTTGGATCAAACTTCGCTTCATAACTTCTTCATCGGTTGGATGGAACTGAAATCCAAAAGAGGTAAATTTTTCAAACTTAGTACGATGGCATTTAAAATAAAAAAACAAAAATCATATATATTTTCTCATTTCAAATAATCATTATTTTATATTAATAGCTCTAAAATATAATCTATTTTAGAATAGATTGAAATAAGTAAAAGTTTTTTTATTATAAATAATAAATTGGACATATATGTTTAAGTTGTGAAGCCGACAAATATAACAGTACTAAAACCCTTATGGGTAACACATTTGAGCCCTCTCTATATATATATTCACTTTCCATTTGAGCCCTCTCTATATATATATTCACTTTCCTCAAAGTGTGTGTGCTAACACATTATTTCTCAATCCTTCTTGCACTGCAGTTTCCATGGATGTCTGGAAACAAATTTCATTCATCATGTTGACCTTCCAATTCCTGTCAGGTGACTATTTGATACTTGCATGTTATTATTTTTGTTCCAAAAAAGGTTAAGGTCTTAAGAAGTGGAGTGTCTGTGTGGTGCTATTGAACAGGTTCGTGTTCGGCCACATTCACCATCACCAACAAGTGCCCCTATACTGTTTGGCCAGGCATTTTATCCAGAGCAGGACCCTCGCCACTCTCCACCACCGGTTTCGCTCTACAATCTGGTGAGTCAACCGCCGTTGCGGTGCCAGCCGATACCAGATTTCTAATTTCACCATTCTAGCTATACCCAAGTCAAATTCTTATCCACCTCCTTATCCTATAACCTCATACCAAATAAATCATCTAATCAATCCTTTCGTTACTCAAGGCCACCCCGCCGGTTACTCTGGCGGAGTTCCGCCTGAATGGCACCGGTGGAGCGGATTTGTACGAGGTGAGCCTGGTGGATGGTTTCAACCTCCCCATGAAGGTGAAACCGCGAGGCGGAACAACAGGAGCCGGGAGCTGCAAGGCCACCGGTTGCGTCATGGACTTGAACGTAGCGTGTCCGACGGAGCTCAAGGTGGCGAGAGACGGAGAGAGTGTCGCCTGCAACAGCTCGTGCAAGACTCGGGCTCTACCATGCTTGAGTTCAGAGTTTTTCAAGAGTGCATTCCCTAACGATCGTGCCTCCTTCACTTGTGTTTCTGCTGACTATATCATCACTTTCTGCCCCACGTCCTCCAAGAGGTAACTTGATAAGAAATTTTCGTAAAGTTTTGAATAGAATGTAAGCGTTAGAAATTAATGGTGGATCACTGTTGTCAAAGTTGGGTTTAAGATATGCAAGATTTGCATGTGGGGTTTAGAGTTTCCTCAAGACACATAGTGGTCTAGTTCTAGAGTTGGCATGATTTGTTGATAATTAAAAGTAATTTCATGCAGAAGGGTGAAGGCCGGGAATGAGAAAAGTCCGGCGGTGGACAACAACAACATGATAGCCGTGGTGGCAGCAAGTGTTTCCTTACTCTGTGGCGTGATGGTATGCAGAATAACAATCTTGTTATCAAGAAGAGGTTGGAGCATCCGGGTGGTCGCGGGAACTAGAGCTCAAACAATCGACCCCAACAACCCCCAACCTGAACCAGTCTCTACTACTTAAATACTATGTCTTGTTTGTTATCATATAAATCTTGCTATTTCCACATTCATATATATATATATATATATATTGTGGACTCGTTATGCTGTTGTATTTCCTTACATAGAATTGTATAATTAAGTGATAAGTAAGAGAGAGTGTGTGGTGAATGTTATGTAAATTATTATGTTGTGTGAAATATAGTACTAGTTCATATTTATGTCCTGCTTGAACTAGTTGAAAAGGCTTGTTGTCTGATACTCCGACAAGATTTGTTTCAGACCATCAATAGTTCAGTAGAATTATTGTACTTCCTTAAGTAGAATTGTACGTTAATCACTACTACAAAAATAACTTTTAAAATTATAATTTTAAAATCAGTCATAAGGAATGAATATCAATCTTGTAGTACCGCCTGTTCTTCTTGCAAAACAAACTGTTCTGCAAAAAGGTCATCATTTATTTATTTATTTGAAATTGTAACTGTTGGTAAGAAATGCCGTTATGAGAAACGGTTTTCCGGTGGGAGCGCCTCCAGAAATGGCGTGTTTGTTAGAGGAAATCCGACGAGAAAACGACGTTTGCAAGATGGACGTTGTTTCCACGTGCGTTGGAGCCGATCCCGAACTCGACGAGTTCATGGTCCCCTTTCTCTTCCCTTCTGCGTACGCACGTTTTTTTTTAATATATTAATTAATATATGGTTTGTTTTCACATTTACATAATAATGCAACTTTTGTCGCTGATTTGTTTATTTATTTATTCATTTATGTTTCAGGAAACCTACTGTGACATGCTGGTGAAATACAAATCTGATCTGACGCGGCCTTTTGACGAAGCCACCACCTTCCTCAGCAAGATCGAAACGCAGCTTAGCGATCTCTGCACTGGTTCTTCACTTCCAACCCTTTCTGGTTAGTATTAGTTACTAGTTGGTTTCTGTTTTTTGTTTGTTGATATCTGTGCCACTCTTTCGCTTTAGCATTAATTTGTGCAGGGAGAAAACTAAAAGCGAGGTTTACTAGACCCTTGATTGGTTGAGACTTGAGAGCATGAATAGAACTAGAACTCGTATGATAATCGTAATATATGCTTGAAAATAATACGCGAGGTGCAGCTTTGGAAGATAGGTAAGGGAAATGAAAACCCTAATAAACCCATTGGGATTCTCTCTCTATTTTCCATTGGTTTATGCAAAACTGCAGCACTGGTTTCTGCAGTTAATGTGGTGTAACTTTATAAACCCCTTGTTTGTGGGTGCTTTCAACGTGAGATTGCAACCACGCACGCTTCTTTTGTTGTTGGAGAAAGAAGGTTTGAATTGTTGTGGTCATTCATGGGCTGCCATGTGTTTAGATCTTTAGCTTTGTTTTTTTATTTTTTATTTTTTTATTGCCCTTCTGCTTGTTCTTCTCAGTTTCATCTTTATATGAGTTTTTGAATTAATTGCTAGGATGTATGGACCTGTCTCTTGGTTGGAGTTGTTCTTTTCTCACGCGCTTTGTTTACTTTTATTTTCTTTATGCATCCATCACGTCAGTGAATTTCCAGTTTGATGAACATGGGACTTTGCATCTGGCTTTCCATTTTTGTTCTTGCAAAAGTGTTTAGTGTTGTAGACCCGATACTTGAGACTGACCTAAAAATAGATAAATGATGTTTTCCAAACACCCAGTGGACTTAAATGGGGAATTTTTTCGTTCTCACAACTGCCACCTCCCTTTAAATGATGTTTTTGTTCTGAAAAACGTAGTTTTCTCATGTTGTTACTTTTAACATCTGCCATCGCATTACTGATGTTAAACGTTCACTTTTAACATCGGTCTCAATTTTAAAAGTTTTACTTTTCATATCAGTCAGTAATACGTTAAAACGTTAAAAGTCTCACTTTTTAAAATTAATTCTTTTAAAATTAGTTAAAAAACTGATTTTAAAAATAAAAATGATTAATTTTAAAAGTTTTTTTTCACTAATAAATGCCGATAATTAAGTGATAAATAAAAGAGAGAGTGTGGTGAATGTTATTAAATTATTATGTTGTGTGAAACATAGTACTGATTCATATTTGTGTCCTGCTTGAACTAGTTGAAAAGGTTTGTTGCCTGACACTCTGACAGGATCTTTCTCAGACCACCAATAGTCCAGTACCTTCTGCAACTCTTGCAGAACTTACTTTCTTATTGATCTAGCCTCTCACAAATTCACTTGCGATTAATTAATTAATAATAAAAAGAGAAATTTTATGATGCTCATCAGATACTGGTATAATATTTTATATTTTATATTTTTAAAAATTTATTTAAATAATATTTATAATATTTTATTCTTTTA